TGGGGTTTTTTTTGGGGGGGGGGGAAGGAATTGGGGTTGGAGCCCCCTCGGGAGCCGACGTGTGGTTGTTGTGCACAATCCCGTGCCCCCGGTGTCACCCTGGGGTTTATTAACATCGCACAACTAACGAGCGCACTTCATTAGCAGCGGTTGCGTTGGTCACGGCGATGTGGGAGGAAGGAGACTCTCGGTGGGACACGGAGATAGTGGGGAACGGGGTTTTCCTCCCCAAAACGAGTTGCTCTTCACCAGCTCACACCGTGCACCGAAAGCGTCGGGGCTCAGGGTGGGGTGGGAGCATCTTTGCTGCGATACGAGCAGAAATCAGATGGGTTTGTATATTTTTCTCTTCCTTCTGCCTTTTTTTCCTTCCTTTTATCCTTTCCTTCTTTCTCCCCTTTTGCTTTCCATCCTTCTCCTTTCTTTTTTGCTTTCCATCCTTCTCCTTTTTTTTCCCCTTTCCATCCTTCTCCTTTTTTTTCCCCTTTCCATCCTTCTCCTTTTTTTTCCCCTTTCCATCCTTCTCCTTTTTTTCCCCTTTCCTTCCTTCTCCTTTTTTTCCCCTTTCCTTCCTTCTCCTTTTTTTCCCCTTTCCTTCCTTCTCCTTTTTTTCCCCTTTCCTTCCTTCTCCTTTTTTTCCCCTTTCCTTCCTTCTCCTTTTTTTCCCCTTTCCTTCCTTCTCCTTTTTTTCCCCTTTCCTTCCTTCTCCTTTTTTTCCCCTTTCCTTCCTTCTCCTTTTTTTCCCCTTTCCTTCCTTCTCCTTTTTTTCCCCTTTCCTTCCTTCTCCTTTTTTTCCCCTTTCCTTCCTTCTCCTTTTTTTCCCCTTTCCTTCCTTCTCCTTTTTTTCCCCTTTCCTTCCTTCTCCTTTTTTTCCCCTTTCCTTCCTTCTCCTTTTTTTCCCCTTTCCTTCCTTCTCCTTTTTTTCCCCTTTCCTTCCTTCTCCTTTTTTTCCCCTTTCCTTCCTTCTCCTTTTTTTCCCCTTTCCTTCCTTCTCCTTTTTTTCCCCTTTCCTTCCTTCTCCTTTTTTTCCCCTTTCCTTCCTTCTCCTTTTTTTCCCCTTTCCTTCCTTCTCCTTTTTTTCCCCTTTCCTTCCTTCTCCTTTTTTTCCCCTTTCCTTCCTTCTCCTTTTTTTCCCCTTTCCTTCCTTCTCCTTTTTTTCCCCTTTCCTTCCTTCTCCTTTTTTTCCCCTTTCCTTCCTTCTCCTTTTTTTCCCCTTTCCTTCCTTCTCCTTTTTTTCCCCTTTCCTTCCTTCTCCTTTTTTTTCCCTTTCTCTCCTTCCCCTTTTTTTCCCCTTTCCATCCTTCTCCTTTTTTTTTTCTTTCCTTCCTTCTTCTCCTTTTTTTTCCCCCTTTCCTTCCTTCTTCTCCTTTTTTTCCCCCTTTCCTTCCTTCTCCTTTTTTTCTTTCCTTTCCTTCCTTCTCCTTTTTTTCTTATTTGAGCTTCATTCCGCTGGTCCTGGAGTGCGGGGGGGGGGGGGGATTTTTGGGGGGGGGGCCTTCATTCTGCTATTTTTATTTTTCCCCCCTTAATCCATGCAGCCGGTGCCTCCTGGCCCTGCGGCGGTGGGGGGAACGCTCGCCCTTGGCAGTGAAGCGTGGTCCGGCCGCCGGCTTTGATCCCCGCGGGGCTGAAAGCGGGGGGACCCCCCCCTCCCCCCCAACCCTGGGGACCGCCTGCTCCCTCCTCCCTCCCCAGCCCGAGCCCCCTCCTCGCCCTTGAAGTTGCTGGCAGGTGCCCTCCTCCACTCCGGGGCCGCAGCATTTCTGAGGCGATACAAAGAAAAAAAAAAGGGG